CATTTCTTCACTGTTCTTAGGACAAACAAGCACGTGCTTCCTCTCCCAGCCCTACCCAGGGCTTTAGTACTTCTGCTCTGTCTGCCTGGACTGCAATTTCCTCTTTACCATCTCAGGTCTCTGCTCAAATGTCACGGTATCTGTGAGGTCTTTCTAAATTCCTCACACGAAGGGATCACTTCTTGTCTACTGTAATGGCCTATTTATTTCCTTTATGGCACCGCCTATAATCTGTATTTATATGTTTGTCCAAAATGTTTTCCTAGAAGGGAGCACAATGCGTGGAATGTAGTAGATTCTTAGTAAATAACTAATTGAATGAGTGAGTTGAGCTTGAGGATGTAGGTGGGAGATAGTTGCCCTCAAGGCCTTACCTCCCTTTGAGGGTTTAGGCAGTGTGCCCACTGAAACCAGGAGGGCAAAGCAAGGGAGAAGGTAGTGGGAGGCAGGGAGACCCGGGATTTGTGTGTGTGTGTGGTCAGCATTCCTGTCCCCACATCTCTCTGACCTCATCTACTACTCCCGGCCACCTCACTTCCACCACCCGGCCATTTCTTCACTGTTCTTAGGACAAACAAGCACGTGCTTCCTCTCCCAGCCCTACCCAGGGCTTTAGTACTTCCTGCTCTGTCTGCCTGGACTGCAATTTCCTCTTTATCATCTCAGGTCTCTGCTCAAATGTCACGGTATCTGTGAAGGCTGACCATACACACACACTGCTTGGCCTGGGGTCTGGGCAGGACAAAGGTAGGTCTAGGCCAGGCTGGTAACAGGTTGGTCTAGGCCAGAAACACCAGATAGGGATGGAGGGGATGGAGTATGGAGTGGAGGGTGTTGGGGTCCAGCCCCAGCAGGTCCAGGGGTTCCCAAAGGTGTGGACGGAGGCAGCGTTCAGTTGACCAGCATGGTTGGGTTCTCTTGCCTGGTTCTATCCAGGATCTCCAGCCCTCTCAGGTTCTGTATTTTATTGTCTTATTACATCTGTATTTATACCAGTTGATTTTAATCCTATCAATTTCTATTCCAAAGGTTAGGGCATTTCTTATCTCCATTCCAGGGAGTAAAGATTATGTAGCTTAAGCGTGATTGTTCATAGTTAAAGTGATTAACTACACGCCTGGCACTTAGTTAAGGGGTTTTATTCCCTCCCTGAAGTTTTTCTAACTTCAGGGAAAAATCCCTACCTGGGGAAACAACCTTTTCTCGGAGAGGTGACCTTGGTTAAAACACATAGCGCCAAGAAAGGGAGCAAACATATTAAGAACAGTATGCCATATACGCCAGGTCCCTTGAAACATAATGCTGTGCAGATGTTTCTTCCCTGCAGCGACTGTGTCAAGCAGCAAGGATGGACCGGCTTCCGGCAGGAGGGCATGTGGATGGGAACTACTAACTCTGCCAAGTCTTTGCTGTGGGAAGGGGACAGTGGAGCTGGCCTTGAGGAGTGAGTAGGAGTTTGTTGGATGGAGAAGAAAAAGTAAAGGCATTTGGAGCTTGAGAGAAGGTCTGAGGTGTATGAAAAGGCAGGATGGCTCAAACAATGAACTGTCTGGTAAGCAGAGAAAGTGAGATCAAGAGTTCAGCAACAGGAAGTCAGAGAGTTTTCAAATGCTAGGCCTATAATTGATCAATCAGATGCTCTGTCCTCAGGGCCCTGGGGACCATGAAGGGGTCCATGAAGCAAGGGAGTGAGAGAATACTCCAGCTGCCCTGAAATGGGTCCCAGAAATGCTTAAGAGACAGAACCCCAGACAGAATGATGGGTAGGATGGGCTGGTGGGGGGAAGGTGTAGAGGATGATGTCCAAGTCTAGTTTGAAGGCTCCGGGGTGAGGGCTTGAGAGAGGAGCAGGTTTGGGCCTGGGCCAGGTGGGCTGGCGCACTCTGAGTTGGGGACCCTGGGTCACAGAGCTATTGTCCCACAGGACGTTGGCACAAGATGTTTACATTTGCCACCTTTGGGCTCAGTCAGGGCCCCTGGGCATAGCCGTGAACAGGGAGAGGGCAGATCAGCCCGCAGTTCTGGGCGCCACTCCTCTTAGCTCCTGCCTCCCTCGTGCGTCACCCGGATGCCTGCCTAGGAAGGGCTTCTCTGGTTGCTGCACCCTGTGGGGGTGCAGCCCTTGTTCTTGGGGGTGCCGATGGTGCCCAGGCAGCTCAAGGACCCTTCAATTTGGGTGGCAGACCCTGTGGGGAGAGGGGGTGATGGCGCGTCCCGGGGTTAAGCGGAGTGCCGTTGGCCGGTGGGCGTACAGCGGCGAGTGAGCGTGGGGCTGTGGGTGGCAGTCTCTGCGGTTTGAGTCCGAGAGCCAGGTGGAGGCCTGTGCCTGTATTTTTCCACCGGTTCCTGCGCCTAATTGCTTCCCTGGCTCCCCGGGCTGCCTGTCATCCCCTCC